CAACACCAAAAACAGCAATCATCCTCCCGTGCTATGCCTCCCCCGATCGGCCGAATTTCACCTAACCCGTCTGGAGCCCCTAACAGCTCAGCCGCCGCTGCTGCTCGCTGCTTCTCGGGTTTTGTTTCGCCCTATGGTATTTGGTGTTCACATGTTGTGGCTGCCTGCCTTTTGCGGATTCGTTCGCCAAACAGTGTTCTTTTGCGCGCTCCGATATCTGAATCGTTATCAAAATTATCCAAAGTGGAACTGCAGAAGTTTGCACAGAACTTAATCTGTCAGATGGGAGCTAAAAAGGTAAGCCCTGAAATAAGTCTACATAAATTCTTGCGTGAAATATTATGATATGTCCTTTCATTGTGTCGCTTAACTTGAACCCAATGTAATCAACAAACTGGGTAATTCATGTTCACACCACAGCGATATTTACGTGTGATAACACGCCGGGATCTTTTAAACTAGGAGTTGTGTGAATGGTGGTTTTTCTAGACGAAGGTTTTACTTACTGTTAACACCTTCAAAACCCCTGACGCACACAAGTGTCGCCTTATTATTTTGGTTGACGCTTTCATTTGCATTACTATTGTTGATCACAACTTCAATACGTTAACGGTTTTTAATGAGGCAACTCTTCTCCTTCGGTTTGAGAAGGAGCACATCTTAAAGCATCACAAATCCATCAATTCGAAACATGTGCTCAGGCCAAAATTGCATTTTTACGTCCATCACCAACAATCTAGGGGAGAGTTCTTTCAAGTCCCAACAATTCACAATCCAACAAATTGACTGAAGTATTATTTCCTTAGGTGCTTTTAGAAACAACAGTGAAACCCTAATAAAATCGACAAAAATCAGTTGAATACAATTGGCGGCTCCGTCTCCTTGGTAGACCAGAATAAGCAAACTCATGGCAAGTAGACTTTTCTACCATCCTAGATAACGAAATTATGAATAAGTCAGTAAGACAATTGTGCAGTTACATGTAAGTTTACCTTACCTACGCGGCATTTCGTTCCTCTGTTCGTTTGGCCTTCTTTTAGGAATCAGTATTCTCGTTTATTGTATTCACTACTCGACCTCGTTTACTTAATATCACGAATACACATACCTCCCTTTTACTAATTGTGAGTGTCTTCATCACCGTTTGGTATCTGAAACCTCTCACCGACATGATATTTTAGTAGAGCTATAGAAGTACCGTGGACTTCAGGTGAACCTAATGTCGAAGCGCCATTTAACGTCTTAAAATCTCTAACATCAACATTTTTCCTATGCGGAGTCACCTTCTTAGTCTTGTGCTCACTTGTAGCTATTATACACACACTGAACTTCCAAATTTTTCATTGCGGGTCCACGAACTTATTCGTACCCACTAAATATCACCGTTTCTTAATGTATACTTCCTCTGTTAAGTGGACTGTGATGCATGCGAACCTTAGACTATTATTTAGGTCTGTGCTACATCGAAAAATGTTAGGGCTTAAGCTATAGTCATGATACCACTCCTTACTGCTCTGCAAGGAAGAATAAACTTATTCGGTGCCACGTCTAAGTGGCCGGTGAAATAATGATCCTTAACTATTTTGCATCTTTTTTGACGACGCCGTGTAACGTACGAGCTCCCGAGTATTATGGTTGTTATTGTACTGATGACTTACTTGTACTTGTACTTGTTACGGCTGTGATCATGCCTGATCTAGCCGGCCTCAATGATGTCACGAACGGTACCTCTCCATGCGTGGCGATTGGCGTCAGCGGATCTCGAAAGCTCCACCCAGTCCCTTCTCCAGCGGCGGAGGCCGAA